TGGAGAGAACCTCCCAGCCAGTGGGCCCCAGGGATGCCTCCTGTGCATCCCTGAAGGGGTCACAGGGGCCTGGAAAACAGGAGGGGCTGCACAACGTGACCGGAAGGGCTTACGGCTTGGGCATCTGGGAACTGAAGAGATGGGCCAGGGAGTGGGTGGGGACAGGGCAGGACTGCAGGCACCTGACCGCTGGCCCAGGCCTGAGGCTGCTGGCTGGCACTCCAAGGGTCACTTCTGCTCCATCTGATGACCAGAGCCGGGGTGCCTTCAAAGTCCTTACCTGCGTTAGCCCTGCCTCAGGTGGCTGTCGTCCTTGTTTGCAGACAGGAAAACTGAGTCTCGGGGTCATATTAATCAGTGCCTCGCCGTGGCAGCGGGCTGAAATTCCAGTCTTCCCCTAATTGTCACTGTTGCTCTCTGACCCACGATGTCCTCGTTTGTAACATGGGGGTGGCTCCAGGGGCCTGGAACTCCGTGCTGAGCTCAGACGTGAAGACACCGCTGCTGGGGGGCATGGAGCCAGGGAGCTGGGGGCACCCCTTCCTGCTGGCCCCGTTGCCCCAGCGGAGGCACAGGCTGGGCATGCCCTATCGCATGCTTTGAGACCCTGGGAGCCAGGGCCCGAACCCCTCAGGATGTCAGAGGGAGGCCAGGGTGTCTGGGAGCTCTCAGGTGGGGGGTCACCCACCCTGCAAACCAGTCACACACTAGAGATGCTCCCCCACCCGAAGGTGGGTGAGCCTCAGCTCCCACCTGTGGCTGTGTGGTCTGCAGCATCCAGCGGGGCGTCGTGGGATGCAGGCAGAGCATGGCAGGCGCCAAGCCCCTGAGCACACAAACTCGTCTCCTGTCCCATTTTACACATGAAGACACGGAGGCTTACAGTGTCACAGAGTGAGCCAGGAAGACTCCAGAATCTCCTGAACTCATCCGAGTCTTGCCAAGGAGCCCCATTTTCTGGAAATGCCCATCTCTGGAGCTGGCTCAGTGTCCCAGCGCCCACTCTGGACTCATTGCCTGGAAGTCCCACTGCCCCCATCCCTACCCTTCCAAATCCTGCCAAAATGGCAAAGGTAAAAATAGTTAAAATAGGTAAAAATAGTTCAGGTGGATTTCCCTGGTGGTCTAGTGGTTAAGAATCTGCCTGCCAGTGCAGGGGACACGAGTTAGGTTCCTGGTCCAGGAAGATGCCATGTGCCGCGGGGCAGCTAAGCCCTTGAGCCACACCTACGGAGCCGGTGCCCCGCAACAAGAGGAGCCACTGCGACAGAGAGAGTAGCCCCCACCAGGCCGCAACTAGAGAAAGCCTGGGCTGGACAGCAAAGACCCAGGCCAGCCGGCCGGCCCCCCGCCCCCCCCAAAAATAAATGTAAATCGTTCAGGGGTGTTTGACCCAGTGAATTCCCCTCTGAGAATGTACCCATTGAAACACGAAGACCTCAAAGCATAATTCCTGGAGCACTTTCTGCTTTGTACAGGCATATTCCACTTGCCTGTCCTTGACATCACCCACAAGTTACATCGTAACAGTGATATTTATTCCTTTATTTCGGTTGCACCATGCAGCTTGGGGGATGTTCGTTTCCGAGCAGAGATTGAACCTGTGCCCACCCTGCGTAGGGAGTCTGAACCCTTGGGCCTCCCGGGAAATCCCGTTAACAGTGATACTCAGAGCTCCAGGTTTGGCTCCAGGAGCCTAGGGCCTGCTGACCCTTTAGCCCTCACAGAGCCTTCCGGGTGGACGGCAACATAGCTGCCATTTCACAGACAAGGACGCTGAGGCCCCCGGGGGACCTCACAGAGACAGACCCTCGGGGAGGGCCGCGCCCATGCAGCCCGGCTCAGCCTACCGGCACCCCCCCACGGGCACTGCGGACACGCGGAGGAGTGAGTTCCCAGGTGCGCGGAGACCCAGACGAGTTGAGAAGGAAAGGCAGCAAGTCGCAACATGGTAAAAAAAGAGGTGTTTGCCTGCGTCCTGCCGGGAGGCGGGGCCTTCGCCTCGATGCCGCTGCGCCTCTTTGGTCTGGATGTCTTGTGAGGAACCTGAAGTTACCCCCCGTGTTATACAGTGTAAGCGCGCCTTTTAGGGTACCAGGTTCCTCCGCGGCACCTCGGCCTGCAGCCCCCTTCCCTTCGTCCCGGGGCCCCTGGTGTCTGCGCCGTGTCTGTCTCCCCCTACAGGATGGCTCGGAATTCCTCCCTTGGGCCATCCGGAGCCGCGCGGGGTGAAGCCCTGCTGTTGAAGGAAGCCTAAAGCCCACCTTGCTGCTTGGAACAGTGACCCTTCGGGGTGGCCCCAGCGGGTGCCCTGGGCTCTGGCTCCTGCCACGCACGTAAGACTCAGAAAGGTCGCACCACTGACCCAAGGTCACACAGCTGGGAGGGGCGGAGCCAGGAGCCAAATCCAGGCTGAGACTGTCGCCTGTTGTCTCCCCCAAACCCGGAGGGGGCTGAGCCACAGTCCCTCCTGAGCCCATACCTGCCACCAGGGGGCTTCCTTGCCGTGTCCTGGGTCAGGTGCGAGCAGATGACTCTGCCCCGGGTTCATCCACCTGTCTGTCCTTCCGTCTGTCAGTCCTTCTGACCATCTGTCCATCCTTCCACCCATCCACTCACTGGCTAATTTTTTTCAGGCATTTATTCATCCGCTCTCCCCAGGGTGCCCACCGCAGGCCGGCACTGTGAGCTCAGAGACAGATCCAGCACGGCCCTGCCTGCCAGCAGCTCGGAGCTGGCAGGGGACGTGTGGGGACCTGCACAGGGAAGCCTCTGCAGTGAGGCGGCATGTTTTCTGTTTCTGCTGCGGCGAAGGGTAGTCTGGGTATGTTTGTTCAGGGGGCAAAGGGCGCGTGAAACTTGGCGACAGTGACCGAGAAAACATGCTTGTCTCAGTGCCACCTCCAGGGCGGCCCTCACACCCTGGATCCCGACCCTCCCTGCTCCGACTCTCACTGGCATAGGCTGCTCTCTGGCAGACTCATTATTTAGATTATTTTTTGTGTTGGTTGTCTGTCTCCTCCCCTGGATCACAAGAGCCACAGGGAAGGGACTTTTGCCTGTGTTTACTGCTGTGTTTATTAAAGTGGCCTGGTGCCTAGGATGCGGCATGCAGTAGGCAGGAAGTGTTTCTTGCGTGGGTGGGAGGTGTGGGCGAGGGTATGGGTGGGGGCATGGTTTCGTGGGGGGAGGCATGGGCAGGGTGGGCTGTTGGGAGACCAAGTTGTTCGGGGCTGTGCAGGTGGGTAGAGGGAGCGGATCTGAACGTGATCGTCAAGGGGTTGTCCTCAGGAGTGGGTGCCTCACAGGATGCGGGGTGCAGGCGGAAAGGTATCCAGGGTGGTTCCTGGCTCTGGCTCGGGTGCCCGGGTTTGACTGCAGGAAACATGGAACTTGACCACTCCATTTCTTCAGTTAGACCGCATGCCTCAAGTTCCCTCACCGTCCGAAGGACTGGCCTCCGCAGTGTAGCATCCCAGCTGGATATGGCCTGCTCAGAACAGGCCTGTCCCCTCCCTCTTTCTAGAACCTGCGCTCCTACTAAGGCAACCTGCATGTTTGGCTGGCTACTCCCACAGGGCCACACCCGGAGCGTGCCCCAAGTGGTCCCCGACGCGACGCAGGTGCCGTCTTCCTCTCGTGGAGGCAGAGACGGAGGTAGGGGAAAGTCAAGGGCTTGCCTGAGGTCTCGGGGCTGGGATCTGAGGGTGGGTGGCCTGGCTCCTAACTGGACGCTGGCCTGCATCTAAAGGTCAAGGTGGGCCTCAGGACTGGCCTTGGACCGCCTGCCTCTTGCCCTCTGTCCTCTGTCGTGGCAGCGGACGCTGCCAGCCTGTGTTCCCCACCCGTCCCACAAACACCTGAGCAGGAGGCGGGGCTCCCCGTCTGTCAGCGCGACCTGGTCAAGGTCAGCCTGTGGTCCACCAGTCAGGGGACAGGAAGCAGGTGGATACACAACCCCAGGGCTGCCTGGAGGGGGCTGCCCGGGCGCTGCCGTGTCGACACCTCTCCCAGTCCTGCCAGCTTCCTGGTTGGCAGCACACACACTGTATGTGACCCTGGGCAAGTGCACTGCCTCCCTGAACTTCGGTGTCCATGAAGGGCTGCGTTCTGGTGTCACATGGGGGTGAGTCATCAGGGCAGGGCCCATGGGTCTCAGGGCCTGGCCCGCGGCATCAGAGAGGGGCTGGTTGGGTAAGTATCCAGTGACCAGATCCAGCCCTGCTGCCTGCATGGCCCTGGCTGCGTCCTTTTCCTGGGCCTCAGTGGCTCCATCTGTAAAATGGGACCATCAGCCCTGCCTCTTCCTGGGGCTGTGACAAGGACGCCCTGAGATGGTGAAGGAGGAGGGCTTGGTTAACTAAAGTGGGGGGCACGGCCAGGGAGAGGTCACCATCCTTTACAATGGTTCCCAGTGACCAGCCTTTTATTGGAGTGGCTTCCCCTTTAGGAGCGCCCTGATTTGGTTAGCGGCGAGGTCGGGAGCCCTGGCCCCTGGTCCCCTCGCTCAGCGAGCCATGCTCAGAGCTGGGTCCGAGCTGGGTGCTGGGGACTCAAGAGTTGGATCTGGCTGGAGCCCTGGGCACACGTAGACAGATGTGGAAGTAGCAAGGGGAGTGGGGCCCAGGGTGGTAGAAGGACGTGGAGGAGACCTTGGCCTGTGGCTGGGCTGCTCACAGGAGGCCCTGGCTGCCTCCCTGAGGCTTTGTCCTTGGTGGCCCATCGCCCCCACGCCCTCCCTGCTAGCTGGAGCTCCCTGGGGATGGGACTGGGCTGCCTGAACGCAGCCTCAACTCAGAGATTGTTTGTTGAATGAATAAGTGAGGGAACGTTGACGGTTACCCAGGCAGGAGCAACTCCAGGGGAGTCAGGGAGGCCCAGGGATGGATAAGGGCTGAGCTTGGGTTTGGAGAGATGCGGGGGGCATCACAGCCTCCCCAGGGGCTGGTCTGAAACCCTGGCCTGTAGGTGGTGGGCACGGTGATCCTGCTTTCTGAATCTGACGTCACCCGTGGCCTGGATCCCGAGGGCACTGGGACAAGGGTCCTTTGGAGCAGGTGGGAGGGAGTCCAGGTGGGCATTGACCCGCTTGCGGCCTGGCACAGCCTCTGCCTCTGGGGCCACTGGTCAGCAGGCTCTGCTTCCTGTCCCTGCCCCCACCGTGGGTATTTAAGGTCTGTGAGGAGCCCGCGGGGAGCTTCAGACGCCACCCTGGTGGTGGCACCAGACAGACCTCTCAGGCAGCCTGACCTCTGCGCCTTCCCCGCCACCCGCACTGTCCATGGATTTTGTTGCTGGAGCCATCGGAGGTCAGAGTGGGCACCGTGGGGCGTCAGAGGGGGCTGTTGCTCCTGGGGGAACCAGGGTGGGGTGGGGGGGCTGGAAGGAGGCGCTCTGTCCGGGGAAGCAGTGAGGTTTGAGGCCTCTAGGAAGTGGCCGGTGCCTGGCGGGGGTGCCACAGGTGCTGGGAGGAGAGAGGAGGTTTCCCTGGAGACGATGGGGCAGGTGGCCCAGAGCCCAGGAGGAGCTGGGTGGGGGTGACCCTGCTCCAGGGGCTCGGCCTGGAGGCTGAGGGGCGGGCAGCGGTGGGGGTGTAGAGGGTGGGTGGTCTCTCCGCCTGGCCAGGGGGAGGCTGGGAATCATACGCATGGAGAAGGATGGGACGAGAGGCTCCAGGAGAGGGTGGATGGTGGGGACCTGTCGGGCTGACTGTAAGGGCAGCAGCGTGGTGGGGGAGGGTCCCAGATGAGCCTGGCACCCCCAATGGCTCCCTGGCTGTGTACCCCCGTGGGCCCGCTCCCACCTGGCTGGGCCTCCAGCCCATTCTCAGCTCCGGAGAGAAGGCTGTTGTGAAAGCCGGATCCAGGAAGGGGCTCTGCTCCTCCCAGCTTGGCTTGCACCGGCTATTTTGGGTGAGATGCCCTCGACCTCTGTCCTCTTGTGAAACGGCAGGGGCTGCTCATCAATACTTCTAGGAATAGCGTGGGGTGTTCTGTTCAGAAGGGGTGAGCAGTGCTGAGATGGGAATGACCCGGGCCCTGGCCTTACCAGTGGGCTGTCTGAGGTCCCCTCTGGGGGCTGGGCCTGAGGCTCCCCTGGACATCAGCCCCCTAAGCAGCCGGGGCTCGACCTGCCCAGGATCTCACAGCAGGAAGGGCTCCCGAGTCCCGCGTCTTCCTGCCAGGGCCCCGGGAAGGCTTGGGTGGAGAGGGTTCCTGCTCTCTGCGCCTGGCACTGGGGCGGGGGAGGCAGACCCGGGTCTCTTCCTTGAGGAACCTTCATTCTGGATGGCAGCAAAGCCCTGCAATGGCCAAGTGACCAATGTGTCTTCTGGCACAGGGGCAGCCCAGCGTATGGGAGTCAGGGAAGCCTCCGGAGAGGGGGCGAAGGTGTGGCAGGGTTTTGATGCATGAGTAGGAGTTTGGTGTGGTATATGTAAAGGTTGTCCCTGTGTGCGTGCTTAGTCGCTCAGTCATTTCCGACTATGCAAGCCCAGGGACTGTAGCCCGCCAGGCTCCCTCTGTCCGTGGGAGTCCCCAGGCGAGCGTACTGGAGTGGGTTGCCATTTCCTCTTCCCCATGGAACCTTTCCAACCCAAGGATTGAACCCGTGGTTCCTGCCACGTCTCTGCATTGCAGGCCGAATTCTGAGCTACCTGGGAAGCCCGTATGTAAGGGTTGAGGAAGGTAATTCTCCTCAAGTCAGTGAGTCATGTTTTGGCTTCACTCTTTTTGTTCTTTCACTTGTGCATTCATTCACTTTATTATTTCATTCATGCATCTTTACTGAGTCCTGGGCTACATAACAAATAGGCACAGCCCCCACATACCTTGCTGTTTTCAGGTGGCCCTCACCGAGCCCCCCACTCTCGGGATGAAACCCCAGGGACCTGCCCGCTCTCTGTGTTCCGCGTGGTAGTGCTGGGAGCTTGGAGCTTGAGACCCCGGTGTTAGGAAAGGAGAAAGGGAAAGAAGGCGGCAGGTGTCCCCTCGGCAGGAGGCAGAGGCCCCTGGTCCGGGAAGCCCCGAGTTCTACTCTGTTTCACGCAAACTTGTGCTTCCAGCAATCCCCCTCAGAGGCCTGCTGCCCCGGGCTTTCTCCGCCCCCAGCCTCTGCCAGGGCTGTGCCCCCTCCGTCACCCCCCGCAGCTGCGAGGCGCAGCAGCCTGCTGGCCTGCAGACAGACCCTTTACAGACTGAGGCTTGAGCATGAGCTCAGCCTGGCTAGGAGACAGGGCCCAGCAAATGGACCAGTTCTTCTGAAACGTGATGCCGGAGGGGAGGCCGTGAAGCACCCTTGCCTCTCAGAAGGAGGGTCCAGGGAGCCAAGACTCGGAAGTAGAGACCACTGGCAGCCTGGCTGACATCACGTTACCTCTCTAAGCCTCAGTTTCCTCATCTGTACAATGGCGGTCGCGCTCCCCTTCTGTTGAGACGTGGTATGGACAAGAAGAGCGTGGTCAGGGCCCCCCCTCCTTTGCTGAGATGGTTCGGGCTCCTGCTGTCCTCACCAGCTCCCCTGGTTTTCTGACAGGTGTCTGCGGTGTTGCTGTGGGCTACCCCCTGGACACGGTGAAGGTACGGTCATTGCCAGGCCTCTGCCACCCACCCCAAGACCCCTGCCTGGGCTTAGGTCCCCATCTATGGCCGGAAGAACTTTCTAGCCTGCTGGGCAGACCTTGTCTCTCCCCCCTCAACCTCCCCTCGGGTACTCAGGACCGTCAGCGCTCCCTTCTCCCTGCTGACTCAGGTCGCTCACCTTGAAGGGGGTCACTGTCACTTCAACCATCAGGGATTGGCTCTTGCCCTTCCCCAGGGCCTGCCGACCTTGCCCCGGGCCTGGAGCCACCGGTTCCTGAAGCCCACTCCTCCCACAGGTCAGGATTCAGACGGAGCCCAAGTACACGGGCATCTGGGACTGCGTCCGGGACACGTATCACCGGGAGCAGGTAGGCCTGGGGCCAGGGTCATGGACAGGGGGTGGGCTCTGGGGCTGCCACTCAGCAGCCTGCCTGGCAATCCTGAGCTCCTCTCTGAGCCTCCGTTCTCGCACCTTCCAAACGGGAACAGCTGTACCAGCCCCCCGGATTCCTCTGAGGACGAGAGCTGGGGTTCTGGCACATAGGAGGTGCTCAGAGTGAGGTCCTGCCTCCAGGAGAGGATCTGGAAGGGGCTTCAGGGGACTTCAAAGGTCAGGGGAGGACCCACCAGGCGGGGCACCCCTCCAAAGAATGCTGGTGGAGTCATCAGGGGGCCAGCTCAGAGCCCCATCTGGAGGTGGGGTCTCAGGGACACTTGCCAAAGTGAACTTGGGAATGGGTGCCGGCCAGAGGGGAGCGAAAGAGAAACAGCAGAGGCCGCGCCGCCAGTTCAGCACCACTGTCGTCACAGCAGCCCCGGGGCGGGCCTGGCTTCCAGGGTGTCACAATCCCCGTGTGCAGCTGAGGAAGCTGGGGCTGCCTTGCCGAGGTCCCGTGGCGGGGGGTGAGGGGGGACAGCTGGCTCCTGGCTCCAGGGGCCCCAAGGGCAGCCGCTCCTCCGGCCTGACTCGGGCCTCGGGGCCCCTGCACCTGCCCCAGCTGCGGGGCTTCTACAGGGGCCTCTCGCTGCCCGTGTGCACTGTGTCCCTGGTCTCGTCCGTGTCCTTCGGCACCTACCGCCACTGCCTCGCGCACATCTGCCGGGTCCGCTACGGCAGCGCCGACGCCAAGCCCGCCAAGACCGACATCACGCTCTCGGGGTTTGCCTCCGGCCTCATCCGCGTGAGTAGGGGCGGGGTGAGGGGGTCCGGGGACCCCAGTGGGGGGAGAGGTGGATGGAGGCTGGGGGACTGTGGCTGAGGACACACCTGACTCGGTAACCGGGGGGCAGGCTGGGGGGGGCCTCTCTGAGCTTCTCTCTTCATCTGTAAGGGGTGTGCTGAGGTCACACATGTCAAGCCCCCAGCCCAGGGGGCTAACTGGTAGGAGCACCCATAAGATGGCAGCCAATAGTATGAGTAAAACAATCCTATGTTATTAATATATGTTAGTATTGTCAGTGCTCACATTAAGTGTTGCATTATTCTCAACATTAGTTAAATAACACATTAATATGTCGATCCCTGGGTCAGGAAGATCCCCTGGAGGAGGAAATGGCAACCCACTCCAGTATTCTTGCCTGGAAAATCCCATGGACAGAGGAGCCGGGCAGGCTACAGTCTGTGAGGTCACAAGAGCAGGACATGACTGAGCGCTTTAGCAGCAGCGGTCATGACCAGATGAATGATGTGACCGAGTACTTTCATGAGCTGGAGTCACAGTGACCCGACGCCTACTGTGTGGCGGGCGCTCTGCCAGCAGGGGATGCGCAGCTGAAGGAAGGGCTGGCTCCAGCTGGGTGGGCAGAGCTGGCTTTGAACCCGCCTCACCATGGCCCGTGGGCCAGCCCGGAGCTTCCTGTGGCTCACGTACCCTTTGAGGGCACCGTGGGCCAGCCCGGAGCTTCCCAGGGCTCACGTTCCCCTTGGAGGGCACCGTGGGCCAGCCTGGAGCTTCCCGAGGCTCATGGGCGGAGGCTAAGGGAGCCCTGGGGCTTGCGGGCGGCACTGCCTCCTCACCGTGGCCCCCTCCCCCAGGTGTTCCTGACCTCGCCCACTGAGGTGGCCAAGGTCCGCCTGCAGACGCAGACGCAGGTGCAGCAGCGGCGGCGTCCTTCAGCCACGCCCCCCACGTGCCCCGTGCCCCCCGCGGGTCTGCAGCCTGGGCCCAAGTACCGCGGGCCGCTGCACTGCCTGGCCACGGTGGCCCGAGAGGAGGGCCTGCGTGGCCTCTACAAGGGCAGCTCGGCCCTGCTCTTCCGGGATGGGCACTCCTTCGCCACCTACTTCCTCTCGTATGCCATCCTCTGTGAGTGGCTGACTCCCGCCGGCCACAGCCGGCCAGGTGAGCGGGGGGCCTGGGGCCCGGGACGGTGCGGGTTAGGGTATGCAGGAGGTTGGTCAGCCCAGCTGGCATTGGGGCCTGGAGAGGAGACAGGGAGAGGCCGCGCTGGCCCCCAGGGCCCCCAGGTGGGGATGCTCGTGGCCCCCAGCACGAGTCAGGACAGGCCTGCTCCGGGTGGCGGTGGACAGGTCACGTGGGTGGCGAGAACCCAGGGCACCCTCACGGCCAGGAGGCCCTGCCCTGGGTGCCTGACACCCCCACCCCGCCCAGTCTCCCCCGTGCGGCTTCTGACCCAGGCGCCCATGTGCTCTCCCCGCAGATGTCTCGGGCGTGCTGGTGGCCGGTGGCTGCGCGGGGGCGCTGGCCTGGGCCGTGGCCACCCCCATGGACGTGATCAAGGCGCGCCTGCAGGCAGACGGCCGGGGCGGCTGTCGCTACCGGGGCCTCCTGCACTGCGTGCTGACCAGCGTGCGGGAGGAGGGGCCGCGCGTGCTCTTCAAGGGGCTGCTGCTCAACTGCTGCCGCGCCTTCCCCGTCAACATGGTGGTGTTCGTGGCCTACGAGGCCGTGCTGAGGCTCACGCAGGGCCTGCTCACGTAGCTGGCGCCCCCCACCCACCCCGGGCGGGGGGCGCCAACCTGCCAAGAGCTCCCAGGGGGGCTGCAAGGAGCTAGAGGAGGCGGAGGGGGGTGCGAGGGTCTGGACCCAGGGGGCTACTATCCCCCGGCCTGGCCAGGGCCTGCCCGCCCGGCGACAGACCACGAGGGGAGGTGGGGGCCCTGCCTGCCGCTGGCTCGGTTGACCTGAGGGTCAGAGTCAGGGAGGCGCGGTGGGCCCCGGGGATGAGGATGTGTTGGCCCAGGGCCGTCTGCGCATTTGGTTGGTGGGTCCATCCCTGGCTTCCCTTTCAGCCTTCACCGCCGCCCCGTGTCCTCAGGGCACCCCTGCGTCCAGCTGACACCCCCTCCTGCACCCTCATCAGCTCTCCCTGCTGTGTGGGCCGCCCTTCAGGCCTGGGACCCTGGCACAGCTGTCGGGCGCCCGCCAGCTCGGTCCCCGCACCCAGCAGCCCTGGGAGCTTCGTGTGAGGCCTGGTCCCCCTTGTTCCGCCTGCAGGGCCAGGACTCAGTGGGGAGCTGTTGTTAATAACACGTTTTTCTCAGGCTGCTCAGGCATGTTGCTCTGTGTTCTGTGGGGCTGGTGACTGGTTTTCCGCCTCGTCAGCTGGTCCTCAGAGGCCAAGGCCCTTGCCGCCTGAGTGGCCGGGCGCCCACCAGGCAGACGGTGCACGGAGGCCCAGCCCAGCTCCCCCCGACTCCCCCAGCTCGTGCGAGAAGCCTGCCGCAGCACAAAGCCAGTTCTCCTTACCCCCCTCCCTGTCCCAAAGCCACCGGCTTTCTGAGTCAAGACTAGGGCCTGCAGGAGGGGGCCGGTGTATCCTCAGCGCCGCGGAGTCCTCACGCAGGTCCTCACGCCAGCTCAGAGGGGGAGCCAGGCCTGCCCAAGGCCACACAGCAGGGAGGATGGGGGACCTCACACCCGCACTTCTGAGACCCCAGCCCTCCCTCGGGCACCACGTGGCTCCCAGGGATGGTCCAGCATGAACGGTTGGGTGCCCACTGTAGCAGCCCTCTGGTAAAGTCAGGCGACCCCTGCCTGGACACTCGCTCCCTCAGACACCAGCCTCGACCGTGACTTTGAACTGAAGGACATCCAGGGTTCTGGCTGAATGAAAAACTCTTTGCTGTTCCCAGAAAACGTGGGTGGACCCTACTCTGGCCTCTCCTGTCCCAAGACCCAGGCATTTGCTTACCCGCTGTGCTCTCTATGGAAGCGCCCCCTCCTTACCTCTGCCTGGCTGACCGCGGGGCCCAGATGCCACTTCTGCAGGAAGCTCTCCCTACCTGCCCTCGCTGTGGGAAGGTCTCTCCTGCTGTGGTCCCCTGGGTCCCCCACTCACCGTCCNGTATGGGGTGTGTGTGTGTGTGTGTCTGTGGGGTGTGTGTGGTGGGGTGTGTGTGTATGTGTGTGGGGTGTGTGTGTGTGGTGGGGGGTGTGTGTGTGTGTATGTGTGTGGGGTGTGTGTGTGTATGGGGTGTGTGTGTGGTGGGGTGTGTGTGTGTGTGGGGTGTGTGTGTGGAATGCACGAACGCGTGAGTGAAGGAAGCCCCGCAGAGCATTCTTGGGAGTTCACCAGCAAGCTGGTAAAGACGCTGGGGTGTCCTGGCCAGGTGCTGGCAGCAGGGGATTGGATAACAAAAGGTTTCAATAGCTGTAGAACCCGCACCCGCGTCCTCTTTCTGACAAGAGCGCTGCTAGCCTGCCCAGGTGCTTTGGCCTTGGAAATGGAGTTACCCCTCCCTCCAATGGAGGGTGGGGACCGTTGGTCTCTGAGCTCTGGCCCTGCGTCGCTCGCTCGGGCTTGGGCCACAGCCGTGGAGAGGCAAGGCCCTTTGGAGCACGGAAATGAAGGGTGGGGAGGAGAAGGGCCAGCCCAGTCGACAGGGCGCTTCCCAGGTGGCGAAGTGGTAAAGATCCCACTTGCTGATGCAGGAGACGCGGGGTTGAGCCGGGTTGCGCCTGGCCCAGCTCTCCACCTGAGTGGGCTCCTCGCTGTCCCCCAGGCCCAGCTCCACTGGACCCACCAGACCGGGCACCCCTGAGGTGCTGTGAGGTCTGAGGGGTGGACACTAACAGTCATGGCGGCTGGGGACGGAATCCCACCTCAGCCCTCAGACAGCGCTGGGCTGCACACCTGCCCATCCCGATGCAGGGCTTCTCTCGGGATCTGTAAGAATCCAGTGTTCTTTAGCAAAATGTGGGGGGTGGGAGCGTCTGTGGCCCTTACCAGCAGTGACTTTGGGCACTGACCTCTGACCCAGCTGACCCAAACATGAGGTGTCTGTTGTTGCTTCTGTTCCACCAGGGGGTGGGGTGAGGTCCCTGCCCCACCCACAGTCACTGGCTGCTGTGGGGCCGCAGCCCTGCCCTCTGAGACCCCAGGACAACGCCCACCCCTCCCCGGGGCCCCGCCAGCCCAGGGACTTGGCTGCGGTCCCTCCTGAGACGCGGGCGCAGGGGAGCAGAGAGGTCACCTCAGCTGCCCAGCCGCACCACCCCACCCTCTGCTGGGAGCTCACCTCCACTCCGGAGGGAGCGGAGGCTAGGCGAGGAGATGGAACGTGCCGCCCGGGTGGGAACCTCAGGGCCCTCCCACAGGACGGGCCGTGAGTGGGCACAGCATGAGACAGGGCAGGTCTGTCTGACACGACCTCACGGGGCGGCCTCGCACAAGCTGCCGTGCTCGCTCCTGGGCTTCAGTCTTCCCGCCTGCAGTACGACATGGGCGGGCAGCGCAACCCCGGGGCTCGTCCCCATCTGGCCGGGCCCTTGCTCTGGGGCCCAGCGTGAATGGCCTGGGGCCACTGTCTACACAGCACCTTTCTGACCACCCCCATGGCCGCCTCCCTCGACCACAAAAAATGTGGACACCTGTTTGCGTTCTCCACTGGCTGTCAGGAACATCCAGTGAGTGTGGGAGCCAGCGCCACGCAGGGCTGAGGGCTAGGAAGGTGCACGCCAGGGCTGTGATCCCATCCCGCACGTGTCAGGGGGACCCCTGCGGGCTCAAGGGCATCCACAGAGGGGAAGGCACGGCACAGCCTTGGACCGGAGGGAGGCCTCTGCTCGCTCTTCAAACCCTAGACAGCACAGCAACATGGGTGGGACCAGAGGAAGTTTATTGTCATGAGAAAGACCAGAGTAGGGCACCCAGGAATGGACCCTGTGCCTCCGAAAGGACAGATACTTGGACCAAGAGCTTTCCCTAAGATAGGTCTTCACTTTTCCAAAACTACACAGGGTGCTTGATCAAGTAGGCCTCCCACAGACACATGGCCGAGGCCTTGAGGGCTGCTGGACGCTATCTAGCTACGTCTGCCTGTCGGGGGACACAGGCAGGGCGTGCTCTGTGCAGACAGACCTCCACGCCAGTCAGGTGTCAAAACAAAAGGATCTGCAAAGCAACAGACTGGCCTCAGCGTCCGGCTGGGTCAGAATGGAGCAGTCATTGGTTCTCAGGATGGAGTGTCTAGGATTACTCGGTGGACAGAGTGTTAGTTTGCTCAAGGAAAGGAGTGTCACTTCTTGAGCACAGTACATGCATGGCCTGGAGTTTAGTAAGTTAACTGGGAAGTTTCACCCACAAAGACTCGATTTAGTAAAAATTGGCCCACTCTGGCCAATACTCAGAAACGTTAAAGGTAGCTTTTAAGCTGTGAGATCTCAGAATTAAGTTTAGCAAAGCCTTTGGCCAGCACTTCCTTTTCAGTACTAAGGTGGGAGCGGGGCATGAGCTGAAATGCCTCTTGTGCCCATTAAGCTTCTGTATGTTAACGTTTCAAAGCACTTAGGTGCTGCTTTGTGGGAGGAACTCCAGCTGGACTTGTCTGTGTGACCACATGATATTACCCAGCACCCAATTACCCACAGGGGATGGAATGATGTTCAGGGGAAGAAACAGGATTGAGACAAACACAGAATTTACAGACCCGGGCCCGTAATTACCGTTTGATAAAGCCTAGGGGGAGTGCTGATTCGACTGAGCTGGGATTACGGGTAAATTACATCTCTGAGTGAGCACAGAGAAAGGGAGCGTTACTGAAAGTCGTAGAACAGCTTCCGGGGGGTCATGAACTCTTTCACAATCTCGTCAGTGACCTCCTTGCGCCGGGCCTGGTGCTCGGCGATCAAGGGCTGCAGGACTTCGATGAGCTCCTGCTTGAGCTCGCCGGTGAGCATGGCCCCACTCGTGTAGTCCTGGGCGGGGGAAGAACAGGCCACGTGAGACGGTGTGCATGCCCGGGCGCCTCCCTCCCTCGACACCACCCACGTGGAGCCTGGCACGCTGGCCACACAGAAACACAGGGCCTTGAGCCACCCTTTCCTGAAAACGCCTCTGGGCTCTGCGGGCAGCTGTGACTCAGCTGCCACATGATGGGGACAACAGGGCTGGCCACCCCACCTGCCCGCCAGGTCAGGGGACTCCAAGACCCGAACCCGTGACTGCGCCCTTCAACCTTACTGGCGTCTCTAAAATCTTTGCTGAATCTGTTTTCATGTTCTGATTGTGACAGTAACATGCACTTGTTAAACAAACTTAACGAAGTACCCAAAGCTGACAAAAAGCGGCAAAAGAAAGGAAAAAGTCCCCTGCAAATTCAGGGCCCAGAGGTTGAGCCCACCGCTAATATCCTGGCGTGTTTTCTGTCAGATTTATTCTCTGCAGTGCACTTAGGCTTCACGGGTCTCGCTGCACGGCCGGCCTGGGCCCACCTGCCACTAGCACTGGCCCAGCCTCCTGGGGGTCAAAGCCTCACCCCTGCCGAAGGGTCCCTCCTGACAAGCCTCAGTCAAGGCTTCCTCTGCTGCAGAGTCTGTTCTGAACTTCTTGCTATCACCATCTCAACACATTTGCATACAGAGCTCTTTCTTATTCAGGGTTAGTTTCTTGGAAAAGATGCCAAGGACTGGAAATCCTGAAGCAGAGGCTATGAATGCTCCTCGGGCTCTCGGGCTCACTGAGCCCTGGAATTATAATCACCGTAAATGCAACACAAACCCGCGGATTGGGTATGTGAGCTGTGTCAGCACCGATGGGGTCTCATTTTAACTTCTACTTCTGTGATGATTAGTAGGATTAAACCTTACAGTGTCGCTACTACTAGTTCGTATTTTCTCTTTTGGGAACCATCCGTTCACGAGGTTTCTAGGCACGTGGTCATGAACATGACCAACCTACTCAGCTGTGATCTCATCTCAGCTGAGCGCCGGCGCCATGGCCCCAGGCCCGGGGAACATTGGCCACCAAGCCTTCCGGGGCCGGCAGGGGCCTCACCTTCCTGATCTGCTCCAGCTTGTCGTCATCCTCCAGGAAGAAGGTCAGGTACATGAAGGACACGTCCACATCGCAGTTGCCCCCAAACTGCCGGTGCTCCTCAACCGTGTCCCTGCCTCCGGAGAAGGCGTGCTTGTTGACCTGCACCAGAAGGGGCACACGATGCTTGCCAGGCGGCCGCCTGTGTGGGGAGGGGAGCCTGCACACCGGCCCTTCCCGCGGAGCTCACTGCAGAGAAGGGGGCTCCAGACGGCGGGTGAGCTCTGACCCCTCCCCCGACTCCCAGAGACAGAGCAGAATCAAGAAGACCACGCCACTGCCTGTGCAGAAGCTTGGGCCACTGTCCTCACCTGTCCGCAGGCTCACCCAGAGGACAGACACAGCCATCCTGAGTGAGAAGGGCAGGGCCCCTGACTGCACAGCGCAGGGGGCAGAGTGCCCGACCCGGCGAGGCTGCTGCCCCCACCCCTCCCTGGGGACAGGACGGGAGGCAAAGCGACAGGGCCCGGGGAGAGGCAGCGCCCACCCCAAACAGGCACGTCCAGAAGCTGGAGACAGACAGGTTCAGAAACCAACAAAGTGGCTTGTGGGATTGAAGATAACCTCAGAGAAGTCAGGGTCAAGAGCGGAGAGAAGAAAAGCCCAAAAGTAGAGACAAAGTCCCTTCAATGTCCTTTTAGTGAGTGTCTGAGAAACCTTCCATGTACAAACATATCTTCTCACAGGGAGAAGAGTGCGTAGAGCCAGTGGTCTCAAGGAGACGTCTGGTAAGCCTCCCAGAAGGACTCCAGGCAGGTTCCTAACCGGATCGCCTAGGAGAATGTGGGGGCAGAGGCTGGTGGGCAAGGCCTTTCTGGTGGGGGTGCTAAGTGGCTCTGAGAAACACTGGAAGCTCTGACGAGGCCCCTGCCACTAGGCAGCTGTTCAGTGGTCCAGGTCGGAACTGAAATCTCAAATCTGGGCTGCTCTCTGCAGGCAGTGACCACCTGTGTGTGTGATCTCACGTAAGCCTTGCCGCCAGGCTGCAGTTCTGCAGAGCGGCTCCCGCTGGACAGTGATACTGACGACCACGGTCCCTTACCAAGAGCAGGTGGGCAGCGGGGCCCTGACTCCAGGCCTCAGGCCCACCTGGGTTACAGCTGGCCCTCTGCAACCTGGCTGTGTGAATGCAGAGAAGCTGCCAGACGCAGTGAGCCTATCTCATCGCCCAGGCAATGGATGTGGCGTCCAGGAGGGTGTGAGGACTCCGTGAGCTCACACAGGTGAGCGTGTGGCAGGTGACCACGCAGTCAGGCTGCAGTGTTCCTAGCACTCTACTCTTACTTCCTGGGAGGGGGCTGGAGCAGATGCCCCCTCTCTGGGCTGAAGATTCTGCTTCTGGAGTTGAAGCGGGGCTTAGGGGTTGGGAACAAGGGCCTGGCCTGACCCTGTCCTGTCCCCCAGGGTGCTTGTGACCCCGGCAGCCAGGGTGGTTCCTGACCCTTGGGTCTCTGCTGGTCCCTGAGTGAAAAGTGTCCCAGAGCCATAAAGGACTTCTTTTATAAGAACTTCTCAGAAAATGAAACAAAATGACTTCTCTGCAAGAGGGAACAGGAGTGTCCTTCCCCTTCTTCTGCATTCCAGGCTCTGGAATTTTTAGCCAGAAGTGAAAGAAAAATAAAAAGCCCTGTTTACACCAGCCTCCAACTGAGGCTGGGAAAGCTGGCGGCTGCCACTTCCTGGAGGCCTGTTCTGATACTAAGGGTTCCTCATTGTCAACCAGAAAGTGGGACTTTCCAGGAGGGGCAGGGGCCTGGACTGACTCATGGTTGCATTACACACCCCAAATATAGTTTCGTCACTCCTGTTGTAATCTTCCAGACCGCGAACATACACACAGTTCCAACTAAAATGTCCACAGCTTTGTGCAACAGTGAGGGGCCTGTACACACACTGGCAGCTCAGAGCCGAGCACCAGAAGTGCGGGCCTGAAAAGTAAGGAAGCTCAAACGAATTCCCATTTCTCGTTTCTCTGATGACTTGAAGATTTACTGAGCTCCGGCTGCACGTGGGTGGGAGCAGCACTACTGGCCAGGTCCCAACTGGCCTGTAGAAGGACACCTGTCAATACTGAGTCTCAGCGGGAATGTTCTGGACAGAAGCAGCCCCTACACCCTGGTGTGTAACACGGTGCGTGAGCTGGGAGGGCACCTTCGGTTTCTGGGGGAAACTGGATCAAGCTGGTCATCCTTGCTGGGCCTCATCGCTCTCATCTTATAGGGACACGCCAGTGAGAATAAAAACTGAAACACAGAGAGAGCGTATGGTCCAGCTCCTGGAATACAACTGGTGCTCAGAAGTACACTAAATTTTCTCTATTGTTTAGCTGTAACTAAAGAAAATTGCCATGATTTTGTTTTCTGAACAATGTTGGTGAGGAAATCAGAGATGAAAAAAAAGAAAAAAAAAATTCCAAAGTTTTGCCTACATGTAAAGACACAAACACATTCACTTCGTATCTGGGAACGGGGTGGGCTGCCTGGACCCTGGAATTCAGGGTGCCCGTGGTGGCCAAAGGATGGAGCGGTAGTGCATGAGTCTCCCCGAGGCCTGGGCCGTGCTCACCTTGGTCTTGATCTGCTTGGCCGTGTCTGTGAGGAAGATGGAGGAGTTGGGGTCGCTGGCACTCATCTTGGTCTGGGCCCCCTGCAGGGCAGGGAAGAAGGTCGAGTGCAAGAGGGCTGGCTTGGGGTAGCCGATCCTGGGGGCCACGTCCCTGGTCATCCTGAAGTATGGGTCCTGTGTGGAGGGAGGGGCAGGGGAGATGAGGGATGCCATCAGCCGGTGGGCATCTCCTGAGTAACTCTGCCTCGCACCACAATCAGACCCTCCTTCACAACCCCTGAAGAGGGTGAAGACCCCTGTTAACACCCCGGCTCTCCTGAGTAACTCTGCCCCGCACCACTGTCAGACCCTCCTTCCCACCCGTGAAGTGGGTGAAGACCCCTGTTAACACCCCAGCTCTCCCAAGTTACTCTGCTCCACACCACCGTCAGACCCTCTTTCCCACCCCTGAAGCGGGTGAAGACCCCTGTTAACACCCCGGCTCTGCCGAGTAACTCTGCCCCACACCACTGTCAGACTCTCTTTTCCACCCCTGAAGTGGGTGAAGACCCCTGCTGACCCCCAGGCTGACGGAACCCTGGCTCTGCCTCCTGACCTGGTCGATGGCACACGGGATGAGGCACTGGACGTCTGTCCGGTCTCGGAAGATCTGAGGGAATGAGTTGCTGAAGGAGGGAGCGGCCTGGATGGCAGGAAAACTGATCTTCCCTGGGAGGGGGGACAAAACATTTTAATACCCGAGACTGGTTCCTGTCTGGAACTGTAGAAGGGATGAACAAAAATGGGCTTTTCTCCCCACTGGAAAAGTAATACTCGTTAAAGAAAACCTGAAACCTACAGAGATGGATTGCTGGAAGGAAGGAAGAAAAATCTGCAGTCCTAGTTTGTGTCTTTTTCATCCATTTTCCCTCCATTTCAGTGAGATTCTCCTCCCGTCTGTTCTTCACAGGTTCCACTTTGTAATGCTTACCCATGATCTATCTTGTACCTCAGCCATTCTCTACCCACTGGGTGTCCAGGTTTTTCCTCAGTTTTAGTTATTATAAATTATGACATTTTGGGACATAAAACTGTTCTCAATATTTTGGATGCTGCTGCTGTTACACTGCTATTATATTTGCTCAGACCTGCAGGAGCAGAATTCTGGGGTCAAAGGGCATGGACCTTGGTGTGACCCTTGAGACAAGTGGAGGCAGGCCAGGCTGGGACGTTTCCGGGATGGCCTGGAGTCCTCTCTCGGTGATGCTCGCTCCCGGCAGCTGTTTTCTCCCCTCTGCAGAAAGACACCGCTCGTTTCTGGGCTCCTGCCTGTCTCTGGGGGTCCACAAGGCGGCTCCGCTGGGACCAGTGTCTCCTTTACAGCACTGAGAATCCCGTCCACGCCCCATGACTCTATAGAGGAAGTGTCGCCGTGTCCCCATTGTATGCACGTGGACACCAGCCCGGATCACTGCTGGGTTCCTAGAGCTAGGGCGCAGCTCTGAGAGGCTGAGCCCGGACTCATACCCGGGTCTCAGCAGCACAGAATGTGTGGCTACTCGCCGCAGCCCCATCTCCGCATTGGCTCGGGGCAGCTTCAGAGACGTCTCCCTATTTGCTGCCTGGATTCCCAGGATTAAAACACCGTTTCAAAGCAGAAAAAAGTACAAACAACCCCTGACCCTCCAAAACCATTTCAAAAGCACAGGGTTTATGCCCCAAGTGTCAGGAATGAATCTGACGGAGGCATCAAAGGGTCCTGCTCATGGGAAAAGCCTCCCAGCAGGGCCTCTGTGGCGTTTCTCTTCCAACAGGCCCCCCAGCCGGGCCCCGGACATGCCCCCTCCTAGTGGGGCACGCCTGGTACAGATGCCCCACAGGTACATCCTGGGAGCTCCACGCTGGCAGCTACTGGGCCAGGGGCTGGGTGCCTAAAATAAACGGAGGGGTCAGGAGACCCAGCCAGTAGTCTCAGGATTGAGTCTTAGCTCACGGGGCTGAGGGTCTAAAGAAGAGATGGTCACTGCATCTGAAAGGGGTGCAGAAACACGGGAAAGGGAGGTCAACGTGTGCACAGAGACCCGCCTGCTGGGCACTGGGCCTGGCAGGAGAGCAAGGCAGGCAGGTGCGCCGGGTGGCTCCTCCCGGAGGTGGGGAATGAGGTCCCGGGAGACAGAGACGGCCAGTTCCAGCCACAGAGCAGCCCTCCTGCAACCCAGGCCCCACCAAGGCCTCCATGCCAACAGGGTTCCCAGGAACAGGTGGAGGATAAAAGTCATCCATAGCCTCCTTTTCCTTCTAAGCCTTAAAATGGACGAGGCAGGAAAGGGACAGAGTGTGACCTGAGGGGACACTCCACGGGGCCCAGAAAAAGGGCCAAATGCACCACAGCAGCTTCTTACATTTTGGGAAAACCCATCTTTTTAAAGAGACAAACTGCAAACGCTACCACCCCAGAGACAGCGCAGCCGCGCACAGGCACCTGGCACTTCCACCCCCTCCTCCTGCGCGCGGCTCCTCTCTGAGGGGCCAGCGGGAGCTGTGGGCCATGGCGGCTTACCAATGCAGTCACTGTCGGTGAAGCCGAAAATGCCTTTCACTTGGTTGAAGGTGACGTGCTTCTGGATCTTCACCACGTTCTTGTAGAAGCCTGGGCTCATCCTGTGAAGAAGGTCAGAGTCAAACCCAGAACTGGAGGGTGGTGGCCGAGGGCAAAGCAGCAGACAGCACAGGCCCGCCGGCCACACGCGGGCCGGGTCGGCTGGGGAAGAAGGTGCTCTGCCGCCCCCTGTGGGCAGAGACGCCCGCGGCAGGCGAGGCGGACACAGCCCTGCCCGTGGAAGGAAGTCGGCTCGAAGCTGAGCGGCACGGGAGGCAGGAGCACTGCCGAGGCAGACTCAGGGGCTCACACGAGGGGTGTCAGCTCTGCCAGGATCGCTGGCTGAACCTGCGGGGCTTCAAGTTTGGGGGCTCCAGGGCAGCTTATCTGTTGGGACGGACTGTGTGCTTTGTCGGGGGAGATTACTGCTGACCCTGGAACAACACGGGTCCACCCATGCGGGCTACTTTTCAGTACTGCGGTGCTGCACTGGCTTGGCTGGTTGAGTCTGCGGATGTGGGGAAACCATAGCTAGAGAGAGCCAGTGGTGAGTTAAAAGCAGATTAACCTTCTCATCACTCAGGGTATTTGCAACTTGCGGCCAGCCAGAGTATCTGGGTATGAACTGATGGGCCCCGGAAGGAGGGTTTGTCTCTGTGAGCTGCTCTGGCCTGCATCTGGCCATCGCTACCCCCTCCACAAGCTGAGGATGGAAGTCTTAGCTGTCAATAAACCAGGAAACTAGACCATAACGTTCGATAAAGGAAGAAAACACCTTCCAGACCTCAAGATGCTTCAGATGTCTCTGAAGCAGCTCTGGCCGCGATGGCCTGTCTACAGCCTGCGTTGACTCATTTGAAAGGCAGCCAGGCGGTCTCCCCTTACCCCATGTAGTCAAGGTCAGAGAAGATGAAGGTCTTGCTGATGTCAAAGCCGCAGGCAATGATGTCCTTGGCGTTCTCCACGGCGTAGCCGTAGGCCTGCTCCAGGGTCAGGTCCTTCCACAGGTACTTCTCGTCATCGGTCATCTGGATGACCAAGGGCACGTTGAACACATCCTGCAGCCACCTGGGAGACACGGGGGAGAGGGGCCCACACCTTACTGCTCTGCAGAGAAACACGGCTGCACCTCTGAAACCGCGGCTCCTGCTAACAGTGCATGTCGAAGCTCCCCTGCCCAGGAAATCGCGCCCTCTGACCACACTGTGACTTCAGCTCCCGTCAACAGGAGCCCATGGAGCCTGACTGTGTGCACCTCCCTGTGAGCAAGGGCTGTGCCGGGCGTGCTCAGTCCCTCAGTCGCGTCTGACTCTGTGACCCTGCGGACGGCAGCCCACCGAGCTCCCGTCCATGGGATTCTCCAGGCAAGAACACTGGCGTGGCTGCCATGCCCTCCTCCAGGGGATCGTCCCGACCCAGGGATAGAACCCAGGTCTCCCACATTGCAGGCTGCCACCATTTATCAGCCTGGAGGGTGATGCACGTTGAATCCGAGCTGGCCGCTCTGCACACTCTGCTCTGAAGTCTTACAGGGGTGGGAGGAGGGGGGCACTCTGGCCGAAGTGGAAACTAAGGCCCAGAGCGGTAACTCTTCCATGGTCACCCGCACGGAGACGGGAGGACACAGGTCCGCTGACTCCACACAGTGCTCTCCCCACCACCCAATCCTGCTAAAATGACCCAAGGGACGGGGCGGGGAGGAGCCACGGGGGCACCGGCGACCCGAGGGACGGGGCGGGGAGGAGCCACGGGGGCACCGGCGACCCGAGGGACGGGGCGGGGAGGAGCCACGGGGGCACCGGCGACCCGAGACCTTGGCTGATCAGGCAGACGCAAGCTGGCACTGCCTCCTCAGCTCTACACAGAGTCTGTGATTAACATTTCTTTCCCTTTTTTAAAAAATAATAATACTAATAATACATTTACTGCCTATAATTGGCAGATATATTGCTGGTTTGTTCTCTCCATGTTTCAAAACTCACTGACATGGTGAGCACAGCCCCGCGCTGCAACACTCACTTGGTGAAGATGAATGGGATGAGGTGACCCACGTGCATGGCTTCGGAGGAGGGGCCCCTGCCCGTGTACAGATAGAATGGCTTCTTGTTTTCGTAGGCATCCAGGATCTGATGCATGTCTCTAAAGGACACAGGGGACAAGAAAACGGTGAGGTGTTCTGAGAGAAGAGTCAGGGTGTGAATGCGCAACTGGGAATGAAAACCAGACAAGACAACCCAGTCACTAGAGCTTGTTGTCCTTGCTGCTCCCGCTGTAAGGATGATGGGAAACTGCTTCTGAGCGGTTCCTCCTGTGCCTGATAAAAGCATAAGCCGTGCGGGTTGGGAACAACGTGTTTAAAGGCTGGATATGGCTGGGCAGCCACTGGACCTCTTTTGGAATCTTTCCAAATTTCGATGTTGACGTACTGTCTGCTTCATATGCTTTCCTGGGAGTGACACCAGGCCAACACCACCCAGTTCTTGTTGAAAACCACGCAGCCCCAAGTCTGCTGGCTCAGGAGGGGGCAATTGCAGGGCTCCCCACAGTCTGGACTAGACGGGGGATGTCCCCAGCTGGAGATCTGCTTTGGGTTCCCTCTGCCACACTAGGACTAAGGGTCTCCATCTGGGGAGTTACCGTGCAGTCACCCGCCCTCCCCGAGGACTGGGGCCCACACACAGTGCACACGAAGGGGCCTCCCGCCTGGCGAGCATTACAGTCACCTGACTGGCCGTCTCTACATCACACCTGCCCGCACCCCACCTTCCCAGCCTCTGATCCAGCGGGTCCAGGGTGGTGTTTGGGAGTCTGTATCGTTAAAGTGTGCCAAATAAAAGAGGACTGGCTCCCTTTCCCAGAGGCCTGGGTAGAAGAACCCAGACAAGAGTATTCTGAAAGTGACTTCTCCTTCTACTCCTGACCAGGGGTTGGCAGTGCTTATCTGTGGGCTGACAGGATTAGGGCTATTCTGGATTTTTTTTGTACTTAGCTTTGATTTTCCCCCAAGGAATGGTGACACAGTGCTTCTGAAATAAGCAAAGAACGAAAATGGTTGAGTATGGAAGAAAAAGAGTCATTTTTGGGTTCTCACAAATAACAAATCAAACTTTTATCGGCTTACGGAAGAAAAAAAGAGTGTGGCTATCACTCGAGCTGCTGTGGATGGTTTTGCAGAAAGTCTCCCAGCACTTGAGGTGCTGTCCCGAGGGCAGGGCACGGACTAGGTGCCCTTGCGGAGCTCAGTTTTGTGAAGGCGGATCCCAGCAGGGACCCCTCAGCTCTGAGGGACCCCTCAGCTCCGAGGGAGTCTAGTCATCTGCTGGTGCTGCTGCCCGACAGTGCACAGCGGATCTCATCAAGTCCCTAAGGAGGAGAGTGAAAAAGCTGGCTTAAAACTCAACATTCAAAAAACGAAGATCATGGCATCTGGTCCCATCACTTCATGGCAAATAGATGGAGAAAAAATGGAAACAGTGACAGATTCTGTTTTCTTGGGCTCCAAAATAACTGAGGACAGTGATGGCAGCCATGAAATTAAAAGATGCTTCTTGGAAGAAAAAATATGACAAACCTAGATAGTGTATTAAAAAGCAGAGACATCACTGAGGTGACAAAGGTCTGCAGCTATAGTCAAAGCTATGGTTTTCCCAGCAGTCATGTACAGATGTGAGAGGTGGACCATAAAGAAGGCCGAGTGTGGAAAAATTGATACTTGCTAACCGTGGTGCTGGAGAAAACTCTTGAGAGTCCTTTGGACAGCTAGGAGATCAAACCAGCCAATCTTAAAGAAATCAACCCTGAACATTCATTGGAAGGACCGATGCTGAAGCTTCCACACTTTGGCCACCTGATGCAAAGTGCCAACTCACTGGAAACGACCCTGATGCTGGGAAAGATTGAGGGCAGGAGGAGAAGGGGGTGAAAGAGGATGAGATGGCTGGATGGAATCACTGACTTAATGGACGTGAGTCTGAGCAAATTCAGGGACATGGTGAAGGACAGGGGAGCCTGGTGTGCTGCAGTCCATGGGGTCACAAAGAGTGGACTTAGTGACTGAACAACAAACAACTTACAAGAATAAAAAGGACTGTAAGTGAATAATATGAACTGCATGCCAGTGTGTGAGATGACTTTGATGAACCAGACAAAATTCCTAGAGAAACAATCTACCAAAACTGACTCAAGAAGAAACAGAAAATCTGAACAGATCCAGAACAAGCAAAGAAATTAAACTAGTAATAAAAAAAGTCTCAAAGAGAAAAGCCTAAAGTCAGATGGCTTCACTAGAGGATTCTATCAAATTTTCAAGAGAATTAACAACAGTCCTTCACAAACTTCCAAAAAAATCAAAGAGGGAATACCTCTCAATGCATTCTATGAAGCCAGTATTATTTTGATACCCAAAGTAAAGACAGCAAAAGAAAACTACAGACCAATGTTCCTTATATAGTTAAATCTTCAAATTTATATTTTTGAATTTTTTTTTGAAATTTTTTAAAATAAGAATAAATGAACTCAGCAAAGTTGCAGGATGTAGGATCAAACAAAAATCAGTTGTATTTCTATACAGTACTGCAATATTGTGGTTGATAATAAGAAACATCAAAAAAAAAAAAAGAAAAAAAGAAACAACATATATTTGGTTTTTGTTCTAGGCTATATCAGGCACAGAGTTCCTTAAACCATTGTGGGAATTTCCTAAGCAATAAGAATGATAGAGTGTTATTCACATAAAAAGTTCCCCTTTCAACTACATCAAAGTTTATGTTATTTAAATGACTTTGGGAAAGTCCCTGGATACCCTAAGGGGGCTGGATGCTGGGGAACCAGCTCTGATTACAGGGTTGGAACTTTCAGCTCCCAACCCCTGCCCCTCTTTCTGGGGAGGGAAGAGGGGCTGGATATTGAGTTTAACCACCAATGGCCAGTGATATAAATAATCTGTGTAATGAAGGCTCTATAAAAACCCAAAGGATAGTGTCAGAGAGTTTCTGGGTTGGTGAGCACATGAAGACACAGGGGGCATGGTGCCCGGGGAGGGGGGCAGGGAGCTCTGAGCACCCCCACATGCCTCCTCCAATCTGGCTGCTCCAGACTTACACCCTTTATAATGAACTGGCCATCTAGTGAGTAAAATGTTTTCCTGACTTATATGAGATGCTTGAGCAAATTAATTCCAGATCAGCTGTGGGATTTAAGGCATAGGTAAGAACCTTGACTCTGATTTGTGTCTGGTGTCAGAATCTATTTAAACTGTAAGAGACCCAGCTTATGCTGCAGAACCCCTGATGGGTGAAAACCAACCCCCTGATGTGTGAAAACGCTACCTCTCTGGTGTCAGCAGTGAAGCAGAGCTGCAGTGAGGCTGAGCTAGAGGAGACACGCAGGGGTACACTTCCCCTTCAGAAACAGCAGTGAAACGCTCAGAAAGGAAATTCAGAAAATGTTCAAGAGCAGCGGAAAGAACAAAACCTAAGGAATAAACCTAACAAAAGAATTGCAAGGCTTGTCCACTGAGAACTATAAAACACTGTATGAAGAAACCAAAGTGATGAGGGGAAAGACGTTCTCTGTGCACAGACTGGAAGCTTAGTATTCCATCTTAGATGCCATCGTAGGATGCATTTCTCTCCAAACTGATCTACACATGCAGTGCAATCTTTGTACAGAAATTAGCAAGCTGATTCTAAAATCCACCTGGAATGCAAGGGACCTAGAACGGGCAAAATAATCTTGAGAAGAACAAAGCTGGAGGACTCACATTTTCCAGTGTCAAAACTCACTACAAAGCCACAGTCATCAAGACTATGCAGTATATTTAAGAAATCTTTAAATATATGGTCAATTGATTTTCAATTGAAAATTGATTTTCAGTTGAAAATCAATTCAACCAGGGTGTCAAGAAAATTCAACAACAATTTCCAAAAAGTGGGGCTGGGACAACTGGATATTCACATGCGAAAGACGGAAGCTGAATCCTCCCTCATACACATACAAAAATTAACTAAACATGGATCAGAGACCCAAGTGTAAGAGCTAAAATAATACCACTCTTAGAAGAAAACACAGCTGGATATGTTCATGACCTTGAATTAGGCAACGGTTTCTTAGATATGACACCAAGCAATGAAAAACCAAACCAAACCAAACAGGAGCTCATCAAAATTAAAATATTCTAAGGACACTGTAAATAAAGAGCTGATATTTGCAAATCAAGTATTGATAAGAAACTATTATCCAGAGCATATAAAGAACTATTATAATCCAATAAAAAGATAAATAACCCAATTAAAAAGTTGGCAAAGGATCAGAACAGACATTTCTCTAAAGAATATATAAAACAGACAGTAAGCACATGAAAAGATGCTCAAGATCATTAGTCATTATGGAAATACAAATCAAAACCATAATGAAATACCACCTCACGCTTACTAGCATGGTTACAGAAAAACACAAACTGGAAAAGAACAACAAATATTAGGAAGGATGTGGAGAAATTGGAATCCTTGTTTGCACTTTGCTGGTGGGAACCCAAAATGATGCAGTTACTGTGGAAAACACTTTGGCAATTCCAAAAAAATGTTAAATGGTTACCTTAGGACCCAGCAACCCCACTCCCAGGTATACACTCAATAGAAATGAGACCCTGTACACAAACACTTGGAGCAGTACTAGTGCTGACCCCAAAGGGAAAACCCCCCAAATGCCCATCAGCTGTCAAACGGGGGTGCATCCATTTAATAGTTCTCAGGCATAAAAAGGAATGAAGTGTGACACATGCTGTATCCCAGGCAAATCCAGAGACATGGAAAAATGATTACTGGTAGCCAGTGGTGTGGCTGACGGTGGGGTGCGGGGTGACTGCTACTGAGTAGAGGGCTACTTTTTGGGGTGATGAAAATGTAAGGAACCAGACCGTGGTGATGGTTGCACAACCTTGTGAATGGACCAAAAAACCCCACTGCACTGTGTCCTTTGTAAAGGTGAATCCTATGTCATGTGAATTACATCTCAATTAAGAAAAAAGCTGTGATTGTATTCTGCCCAGAAAGAGGGCTGAGTGGGGGGGGCCTCTTCTCTCCATGTAGAATTTAAAGTGTTGGCCGTGCTGTGTAACACGGGGAGCTCAACCTGGTGCTCTGTGATGACCTAGAGGGGTGGGATGGGAGGGACGTTCAGGAGGGAGGGGACTTATGTGTACTTGTGGCTGATTCACAATGTTGTATGGCGTGATAAGTCGCTTCAGTCGAGTCCAACTCTTTGTGACCCCATGGACTGTAGCCTGCCTGGCTCCGTCCATAGAATTCCCCAGATAAGAATACTGGTGTGGGGTGCCATTTCCTCCTCCAGGGGATCTTCCCGACCCAGAAATCGAACTCGTGTCTCTTATATCTTGGGCATTGGCAGGCAGGTTCTTTAGCACTAGCACCACCAAAACCAATAAAACATTGTAAAGCAATTATCCTCCAATTAAAAAAATAAAATCAAATGTTCGGCAGAGGGCCAGGTTCTGTCCTGTGTGTGCTCTCTGTAACCCTGGGATAGGCAGAACAGAACAACCCTGCCTTGGACTATATGCTCCAAGATCTCTTGAACCCAACCAGAGGCGGTGTGTGGGGTGGGAGAGGCAGGAGCTGGCTCCGAACCTGCCCATTCTCTGATGTTATCTGCGTGGAATTTATGGTCTCAGGTAGGGATACTCTGTGCCCTGTTCCCTCTTCTAGTTTCTCTCTGGACATGATTTATGAGCAGGCCAGTACAATAGGAGGAAGGCATGTGTAACTTCAGGAAGCCTCCTGCTTATCTCACGGGAAACGCTGAACCTGGACACATTAATCTCTTTTGTTTTGTGACACGCTATGGTTTATAGCACACAATCTGGCAAGAATCTCATCTGGTGAGTACTTGACCTCCACCTTGTGAGATGGGCAGTTTACAAATGAATAAACTAAGGGCCAGAGGTGAAGGGACAGGTGTGATCCCACAGCTAGTCACTGGGAGGACAGGAGGCAGGACCGGCAGTTTGAGGGCCCAGCATCCTGACTGCTTCCTTCTCTAAGAGAATAGGACGGGGTGAGTTCCTGCAGTGAGAAGCCCCTGACCTGTGTGAGAAGAAGATTCCTCTGCGCAGGAAGCGGTGTGGTCTCTGGCCCGTGACTCTCTCTATTCGGTTTACCAGCTCCTTGTCAATTTTACTGCTTCCGAATCGAACTGGAAGAAAAGAAGAGGCTGAACTTAGGTGGTGGGAGGCTTGGGGACGCTGCAGAGATGACAGGAATCACGATCATGTGCCTTCTCAGTAGACCCAGGCCTCTTGGGGCTGCTGGCTCTAGTCCCTTCCATCAGTCCAGAGCAGAGGTCACGGCCAGCAGAAAAGAAAATAAATGCAGGGCTAAAGACTCTCTGGTCTGGGACTGGATTCTGATGGGAAACAGATCCAGAATGCAGCCTAGTGAGGAGCTCTAGATAACCCGCCCCCCTCCCCCCACCTGCCTCCTACACACAGCTGCTTATTACTTATTGGAGTATAATTTATATATGCTCACAACCATCATTTTAGAGAGTCTATAACCAAATTAATGTCCGTCTTCCAGCTAGTCTTCTCTCCCTGATGGTCTAAACATAAATCACGGAAAACGGCTTAGACTCAGATGAGAGCATTTTAGTTCTGTTTCTTCTTCGACAGCCACCAATGATCTTAGAGCAAGGATCTTCCAGCGCAGGAAGCCCTCCAGGGCAGAGCTGGGCAGTGAGGACATGCCACCTGTGAGAAGGCTTCCTTCTTATGCAATCCATGCCTGAATTGTACCCACTCAGTGAAAGACAATTTAAACCACCGAGAAAATACTCGGTGCGACGGACCTTCCCCAAGTTCTGAATTGCTCAGGAAAAGGAAAAAGTGAACACCAAGCGGTTTGTGCTGTGCGTGGTCGCTCGGTCGTGTCCGGCTCTTTGTGACCCCGTGGACTGTAGCCCACAAGGATTCTCTGTCCATAGGGTTCTCTAGGCAAGAACGCTGGAGTGGGTAGCCATTCCCTTCTCCAGAGGCTCTTTCCCATCCAGGGATCGAACCCAGGTCTCCTGCATTGGCAGGTGGATTCTTTACCGTCTGAGCCACCAGGGAAGCCCACTAAGCCGTCTACTATAGATTACTATTTCAAAACATATTGTATATTGTCACGTTAATTAAAAATAAACCTCTAGGAATATAATGGACCACCAAAAGATTTAAGGATCTTTCTTCCCTTGGCATTGAAGTTTGACTGGATTTATGATTAATTCAAATTAGAAAACATCAATAACATCACTTCTAAAAGTTGAGGCTTTTTCCCATAAACGTACCAATGAGCTTGTCATAGTCAACACCTTTGGCACTGCTTGTCTGCACTGTCCAGGGGTCCACAAAGTCCTCGTCTGCGTCGGTGGCAGCCAGGCCCTCACCACTCTCGGGTGCCGGGTCCCTTGGAGGACAGTCCATGTTGTAATCTTCCCCTGTGGCAGCTTTGTAGCTCGTTTTTAGGGATAACAACATCTTCACTGCCAAATCAATTTCATCCTGTACAAAGGAATTAAGGGTGAAGGTGGAAAATATTAACAACCACTAGCATTTGCTGAACGTTACTGCTACTGGGTGGCAGGTGGTGTGCTAAATGCTCTCACACACGTTATTTCATTTACTCTTACAATAATCTTACGAGGACGGCAGTGTTGTCACTGGCCTTTTCCGGTTGAAGAGTCTGAGACTCAGAGATGTGAAGGAGCTTGCCCATGCACAAACAGCAAGTCGTGGGCCTGAATGTATTTTATTTTTATCTGGGGGTCAAGTGTCGGGGGTTCCTACCACAAACACTACAGGCTGTGTGTAGCGACACAATTTGCACCATTTGTTTATGACAGAGTTAATGTGCCAAATATTACTTAAACTTTACTGATGCCAGTGAACATATGTGACAAGCTCCATTAATCAATTATAGTGAGTTCTGCACTGTAACTTGTTTTTACAATCCACACAGGTTGAGATGAGTATTTATGGAAACTTCAACAACAATGCAACCGGATAGTAACAGCAACTCAAATAGGCATTGTGAAAACAGATAAGGGCAAGGAAAAAATACAGACTTTCAAAACATAAGGGGGGATTCACTGGGAAGCAGTTATACCACAGCATTTTGGAGTCTTATCCAGCTGTCCAAAGCGTTTGCATATTTAGTGTTTTAAAATGAGTATAAGAAGAAAAACAAGAAACAAACAAAGTGTACCTGTGGGTACGCTGGAAACCTACTGAAGATTTCCTCTTGCAGGAGCCCACACTAGCTACCCCTGGAAGCCTGGCATTTGAAAGAGCAAACCTAATTAAGCAGATTAGTCACGCTATGCCCTAAAGCTCTACTCCCATAATTGGCCTTGCTGGATTTGATCGCAAACAAAGAATATACACAGTCCAACTTGCTTGCCAAGGGAGATAAAAACACTTCCATTTAGACTTTATACATAACGTACTATAAGCTGGGCTTCCCAGTGGAGGAATAATGCAGTCCCAGACTGCACTCAAGAGAGCCCCTCCATCAGGTACGTCTGGGCCACAGAGGGCTGTTACTGTGGGGTGATTTCAGATGCAGGTTTGTGTTTCAAACTCTGAACCCATCTGGAATTTGTCATTTAAATGAGTCAGAGTGTACAATCAGTAGCCCCACCGATACAGCTCATGCTAGAGGCTGGGTGCTGGCCCACCTTAGGCAGGCAGGCGTGTTCTCCTCCCCTCATTCGGCGTTCCTAGGTTGAGAGCTTGCAGCAGAATACAGGATTTGAGAGCACGATCTATTTCTCTGTGATCTATTATCTGAGGAAGAAGTACCCTGCTGTCACCACCCTTTAGTCCCCAGTGGTGTGACGGTTCATACACTATCTGGCCTAACCCAGCTTCCAACTGGGTGGCTCTTTGAGAGTTGAACATCTAACCAGAGTCCCAACTCAAGGACTGCCTGTCATCTGGAATGGGACTGAAGAGACAAGCAGGCTCCCTTGTCTGTTTTCCTGTTCTCAATCTAACACAGATCTGGACGTTGAAACAGATTTTAAAAGCTGATGTTCTGAAAAAAGCCAGACACGTAAGACTCTATACACTATGGGTGATTATATACAGTTCCTGCACAGGAATTCTCCGTGGAAGGAGAGGGAGGAAGAGGCCTCTCTCAGGAGGAAAGAGGTGAGGAGCAGAAGGGCCCGAGATGGTTTCTGGGCTGTGTCTCCCAGAAATGCTGGTTACACAGGTTTGGTCATCTTGTGAAAATTCAATGAGCTGCCTGTTTGTGATCTCCGCATTTCTCTGAATGAATGGTGTATTCCAATTTTAAAAATTTATTTAAACTGAAAGGAAAAGAAAAAAGGCTCTGTTCCCCACATTTAGCCCCATGATCCAGTGTCATCTCTCGAATCCTGCTCAAACTGTCTTCCCGTCAGAGTCCCCAGATTCTGACCTGTCCTCCAGGAGAACCTCTACTGAGCTACTACTTCTGAAAGCCATGGGCGTTCTTCTCTTGGTACACGGAGCAGAAAGAACACTGAGAGCCATGACCTGGACGGTGCAGAGACCGTGGAGGAAGAGCCCAAGGCACCCTCACTGGACCAGCCATGCCCGAGTGGCTCACTATTTCGCCTAAAGTGAATTGGTAAAACATCAGGTACTTCTAGTATAATACACTGATACAAATTTACTTCACTTAACTCCTTTCATCAAGTATCCTCTGCTGTCTTGTTGAGCACCATCTGCCTTAGCGTTAGTCAAAGACTATGCTCAGAAGACTTAACTCTAAACTGCATCAAGTATTGTTTGTTTGCTAAAATGCAGAACGTGACTGGCGTCACTAAGAACTACTAACTAAAAGCATTCATTAATGTTATTCAAATTTAATGTTAAATAACAAAAATATCACTGTTTATAATAGGTTTATAGAGTAAATGGGTTTATAAAGTAAATGATCAACATGAGTTCTTTATTTATTGTAGGTTTACAGATTAAAAAAACAAAACAAAATAATTCAGCCTTATCTATTGAGCCCTATCTGCTGTCTAAAACCTCTTTCTGTGAATAATCAACTCCTTTTTTTGGACATCACTATTTATTTCTTTTAAAAAGTAATGGATTATTTAGGGTCCCAAAAGTCAAAGTAAACTACTGAAATGAGTATGAGATGGTTGACCCCATCTGGTGAGAACCTAGAAAGAGATTTTTGAAAAGACAACAACAGGGGTTGGAAGTGATGGATGAGGAAGCTGTGGAGCTGAAGAAGCTGGGTGACCCAGAGTGAAAGGAAGGGCTGGTTATAGATGTAGACTGACTGGGTTATGCTTCTGAAACCCAACACAGAAACTACAGAGAGGTCTTTAAAAAAGGCATAACCCACAAGGACCAAGGAAACAGGAAGAAGATGACAGCAACAAGCTTTAGAAGCTGGAGAGCAGAGGCATGACTGGAGCCTGAGTGAACACAGGAGAACAACAAATGCTGAGACTACAGGGGGAGTCAGGGCGGCGACTGGACTTGTATTGCTCGGGATCCCCAAGAGGCTCGGGCACCAGTGGCCCTAGATACTAACACAAGTGAGGGTAAGAGTGGGCTCTAAGATCAGGAGCACTAGCTGAAAGTCTAAGCAGCAGCTACCTAGCTGCTCTTTCTACCTAGCCCCACTCACAGCTAGTACATGCCTCCTGCCCCATCCAGAGGTTTAGTGTCTTGACAAGAAGAGTCAAGTGTCCACACTGGAAGTGCTCTGCACAGCGAGGGAGAGAGGTCGGGGGCGGCACACGGCTAACAGGGGCTTCAGTGAAGGACCATGTGGCCAGCTCCTCAGCCCTACTCAGCTCACAACGTGGGCGGCCACACTGGGACATTCTGGACAGCGAACCAGAGGAGTCCTCTCTGGGGACTCTACTGGCCTCAAAGAGGAGCTCTAAAGACCCGGCACTGGAGACCTCCTGAGGCAAAGGAGTGCTGTGGGTGCCGTCCAGGGAAGGGAAGGCTACACCCTAAGCTCCTCCCGGCTCTGAGTGAGCCCTCCAAAGCGTGAGTGCACAGCTGTGTCACCAAACACCTGACGATGGGGCCTACTACAAAAGGCAGAAGGAACAAAAAGCTAAGCTGGAGGAAACTGGGTGTATAAAGGGGATAGAGAACATCAGGAAAACTGTCACCAAGAGCTCAGAGACAGAAGGCCAGTGCACCGGTGAAATAAGACTAGAGAGCCATGAGGAAAGGAACATTTGGAGAACAAATGAGCTCTTGGAAATTGAAAATGACAGAATGAGTGAAAAACAATAGCAGGTTAGAAGTTGAGGAAACATATCTAAAAGAAGAAAAAAATAAAAATAAAAGGAAAATAAGTCAAAAACTAAGAAATTCAGAGGACACAGTCTTTGAACTAAAAAGAAAATACACAAACAAACAGAAAAATAAAAAACCAACCCAGAATAAGTCAACGAAATAGGATAAATTTCTGAGAATTAAAGGGCATGTATTTCTAGTTTGAAAGGAGTCTTGAGCACCCAACACAGGGCATTTGGAACTGGAGAGGTCCTGAACACCCAGCAGAGGGGACAAAGGAGAGGCACCGGCTTCTCCACAGCAGCCCCAGGAACTGGGAGGATGCAGCAACGGTTCAGAGTTCTGAGGGAAGTCACATCCTCCTGAGAATTCTCAACCGAGCCTAGCTATCAGCCAAATATGAAGTACAATGCTTGCAGACCAGCCAAGAGCTCAAAAAACACTTCCTTAGCACTAATTTTTGCAGAAACCTCTGGAGGATTTGCTCTGCCAAAATAAACTGAGGAGGAGTGAGACACGGGGTCAGGAACAGGGACCCCAAAGAGAGAGTGGAAGGCCTGCATGGACAGGGAGGGTGGGTCCTTAGATGGGCTGTGTGGGAGGCGGACCACCACCGGGACAGAAGCGGGCAGGGCATCCTGGGAGAGAGTGCTTGCGAGGATGGACTTGATCGGTGGCCTGATGTGTCTCGAGATGGGGCTCACCCAACTGGGGGAGTGCCTGGAGGTCCATGAGCGTCAGTACACAGAACAGCTAAGCAGGGGCGGTCCCAGACAGCCTAATGGTTAGAATCTTCACTGCCATGGTTTGGGTTCAGTCCCTGGTGGAGGAACTGAGATCTCACGGGAGCAAGGCATGGCCAAAACAAAGAAAAACCAAGCAAGGAGCAATAAAAACAATGTATCAACCCTGGAAAAAACAAAAGTTGGGCAGGAAAGGAGAAACACTGGCGCTGTTCTCAGAGGGGTTAGCTGTTATCAGTGTTTACATGGGGCCTGGGGGGTGGAAAGTGCTTAGGAGAGGGCTAATTCCTTGTCTTCCACAGTGGAAGCCTCAAACCTGAACATCCGTAAGGAGCAAAATGATGTGTGGTTCTGAGAGATGTGGGCATTGCATATCAAAAGAATCGGCTAACAGAATTGAAACTGGTTGCTTCTGGGAGCAGGACATGTGGAGAGGAAGGGTAGATAGCGGCTGTGCTTCCCAGAGGCTTCCCTTCAGAGCACAGGCATTGATGCTGAGTAAGGAGAAAATACATTTAATACGAGAGCCAAAATCCCTCAGGTGATGAGGGAACAGAAACAGGTGACATTGTCCTACAGACTGGCTGGGACATGCGTGTGGAGGACTGGCAAAATGACTTACCTTGGCTGCGTTTCTGGCTTTGAGGCCCCTTACGAGCTCCCCCTGAGCAGCAATCCTGTGGAACAGCTCCAGGGGGGACCCACAGCCCTGCTCGCTGTTGGGCATCTCTGCCTCTTCTGGGACAACGTTCACAGCTGGTTGGGGTGCTGGCAGATTTGCTCGGTGGTCCACACAAGGCTGTGGGCAGAGAAGAGGGACAGAAAGAGATGAACAAACCACGGCAGCTGTTTTCCCTTTACCAATATCTGGTTCTTCTTTCCAAAAAGGTTGGAGATGAGTTGTGATAAAGGGCATAGATAATATAACATTAATAAAAATATAAACAGAAATATGGAGCCAGGAAATAGGAGAAAAGAGGAAGAATAAATGTTAATGGCGGGGTTGAAAAGAACTTCTGTGATTTATAGGCTTAGGGAGGGCAAAGACAGACCCCTCCCAACCAGGAACTTCCCGGGTGGCTCAGAGGGTAAAGCGTCTGCCTGCAATACGGGAGACCTGGGTTCAATCCCTGGGTTGGGAAGATCCTCTGGAGAAGTAAATGGTAAGCCACTCCAGTACTCTTGCCTGGAAAATTCCATGGACCGAGGAGCCTAGCAGGCTACAGTCCATGGGGTCGCAAAGAGTTGGACATGACTGAGCAACTTCACTTTCACAACCAAGGATAAGTTAGCATGTGCTGAGGTGTCCATGTACCTCACTTAGTGCCCAGGACAAAGGAAGGACTTGTGTTTGCTCAGGGAGCAGATACCAAAGTGCTTTAGTAAACCAAAGTCCACCATGATTAGAAACACTTGGTAAAGTACAATTACTCTTTATCTTAATTGCTCTAGGGGATGAATTCCTAGGCCTTTGCAGTCATAATCAATATATTACTGGACAAACAGCTTCCTTTGCTGGCCAGCTGCTCTGTTCTGAGGAGAAGGGGAGCCTGGGAGGAGGCAGGGCCTTATCCCTTCTGGTTTGCAAGTGAGGCAAGAACCACATACAGCCTGTTCATTCCACAGGTTGCCTTAATTAACTGCAAACCTTTGAAGAAGGTGTCCTTGTACCTCCTATTAAGTCATTATTTATTGCTAATCTTGGAAAAGGTGGGGCAAAGGCAGGCTATCTGAGGTCGCCTTGGGGCTGAAGCTGGCCAGGATCAGCCCCTCTTGGGTTGGTTACTCTCCTTTTCTGTCAGCTTCCTCATCTATAAAGCAGAACCTTCAGAAATGTCTATCACTTACCTCAAGGGCTGTTATGAGAAGAAATTAGAAAAAAGCGACATGGTGGCATTTTACAGACTGTAAAGAAAGGAACAAGCCCACTGCAAGCATTACACGTCAGGACTCCAGATATCGGCTGAGCCCCAGCCCCATCTGTAACCTGCTGATACACCTTGAACAAGGACAATGCCAGTGACAACAAGGCTATGCCAGAGCAGCTAACTTCCAGAACTGAAGTCCTGTATCTGGTGTTCCTCTAGTGAGAAGTGAAGTTGAAAGTCGCTCGGTCACGTCCGACTCTGCAACCCCATAGACTATACAGTCCATGGAATTCTTCAGGCCAGAATACTGCAGTGGGTAGCCTTTCCCTTCTCCAGGGGATCTTCCCAACCCAGGGATCGAACCCAGGTATCCCGCATTGCAGGTGGATTCTTTACCAGCTGAGCCACAAGGGAAGCCCTTGTAAGCACCTTAGGTAACACTGACACATATCAATCCACAGATGCCTACAGTAATCCTATGGGACAGATCTGCTGGGTCTGCTGTGTAGACGAGTAAACTGAGAGGCTAACACACTGGCCCAACACAGTAAGTAGGCAGTGAGACGGGACACAGACTCAGGCAGTTTGACTCTGGAGCCTACACTCTCTAATATCATCCTATGGGGTACCTAACTGTCATGAGCCTCAGCCTCTCAACTGTGGAGTGGGAATAGCAAGAATGACACTGACCAGCAGGACCAGTCATGGACTAAGTGGGATAACATGGTTAAGGAAGCAGTCTAGCATAGCATCAGCCGCAGAGGAGAGGGTTAATGAAGGATGATTTTGTTTCTTTACTCACTGGAAATTTCTTTCTAGGAGCTCTATGAACAAAACACACAAATGTGAGGGGATAATTTATTTTTACTCATCCATTTGTTAAGTATCTGTTTAAAAATATGTAAAATTTAAACCAATCTTTACAGTCAATGATACCATAATGCTAAAACCAGGATGGGACAGCAGCCAGTTTCTTTCCTTTCCTTTCTGAGAACTGCCTCAATTCCCGGAAAGGGAGGTCCATAAGAAAGAGAAAGAACGTGGACGAACCTTCTGACAAGCGCTGGAGAGGAGAAACTCTCAGGCCCATATCAAAGAGCAATCAAAGTGACTTCAAGGCACAAATGACCAAATATCACGTCCAGATGCTTTACACAGGATCCCCAATTCTCCCAAGCTGCAAACCTGGGTGGCACAGAATCTGCTCTGCATTAGTGACTGGAGGCAGATGGCTCAGGCAAGTGAGAACCACCCTCTGAGGCTCCATGCCAGAGCAGCTGAGTCACGATCTGATGCCAAAGCCCCCTTGACCATGTTGCGCTCTCTCAAATTCTACTGCCTCCCCTGCCTAGAGTGTTTCCCACCCTCCTCTGCCCGCTGTCTTACTAATCCAAACCTTGGCTCCTCTTTGCAGACTTTCCTGGCCCCTGTGCCTGTGGGGCCAAGTTGGCTGCTCTGTCCTTGGCAATCCCCAAGACTCATTAGTGAGGTTATTAGAGCACTCACACTGCATGTAGTAATTTATGAAAATCCACCCCACAGAGAATGCAAGCACTGGGTTTTATTCTTTCATGCTCTTCTAGCACCTGGTACAGAGTAGCTTATCAAACTGATGATTTATGAGTATAGGTTACTGAATAAGTCTCATAAATCAACTAGTTCATTTCCTCCCCCCCCCTCTGGTTTATATCCTCTTATATTATCTCTGCAAGCACTTATTCCAGTTTAAGGTAGATTTCCCCAGTCTGGACTTCAGAAGGCCTCTTAAAATGTCCCAACAGTGCACAGAGCCTTAGTTTTACCCCACGTCTGGTTTCCTCAATCACTGTGAACATCTGCCCACTGTGGTCATTCTTTTTAGAATTCCCTTTGGTTTCCCCCTGTCCTTCCAAATATGTGGTGTTCTCCATTAAAGGACACAGGTGGGTTTTGAAGTCTGTGAGCAGGACCAAAATCAAATATAGATTAAAATTACCCTACTCAATTCCTAGGGAAAGTGCCAGGTAGAATGACTCAGTGAGCCCTGGACGGTCAATCTCCCCGTCATGGAGCAAACAACTGCAGAGGATCAGTTAGACGAACTAAGCCTGAATTTAGGATCCCTGTTGTAGGGAAAAACGTGTACCTTTAAATATCAGGATCCCATTTAAGTAAGAAACCAGACTGAGGAAACAGCAGGTGCATTCTCCCTGCTCTCAGGATCACCAGGCATACACTCACTGCATGGGAATTGGCCACACTATAAATCTCGTGTGTGTGTGTTATCTGATGCAACTTCCTGAATAAGTACAGGACTTCTGGAGTGATCAGAGACAAAGAGACTGGAACTACCACTGCCCTGATTTCAGGCGTCCATCCATTGAGCCCACTTACGGGCATATATTCTCAGTTTTCCTTCCCATCTAGTCAGCTTTCTCCTTTATTTCTTTGTTAAATAAACTTTAGAATTTAACTTAACTTCAGAGGTTTTTAACCCAGAGTTCAGAACCTCTCAAACGACGTGAACAGTCTGCCTACACACAGACATGTGGTTCGAAGTAGAATAACCAGGTTCTGCTACTTTCTCAAAGGGGCCCAAGATGCCCAAAGGCTAAGGACCACTGTCCTCAGTGTTTACAAGGTAAACTTGAGTATTAAGGGAAACTGCCTTATCTATTTCACAACTACTACAATCTAAAGCAAAGGTAACCACCTGTGAGGAAGCTATCATCTGTGAGGTAACCTATGACCTCCTCTAGAAAAAGGGCTGGGAGTGAGCAGAGCAGAACTGCCTACTCCACAGCAGAGCAGGACAGTTTAGGGGAAAATGAAAAGGATCGTATAAACAAACTCTTCCTCCCTCTTTTTAAGGAACCTGAACCTTGAGCTCATTTTGAAAGGTCCCACTGTTCCTGAGGAGCACAAGGGGCCCCTGAAGAAACCGGGGACAGTTCTGGGATGAGGAACAGAAAGAGGAATTACAGAACTACAACGTGACAATTCCTTGGGCCACTCTGAAGTCATCTCACACCTCAGATCAGAATATACTGACTCTGCACTTTGTGGGGAGGGTGGCATCGTGCTTGAAAGCCAGCCCTGGAGCAGCAGAGAAGAGCAGGGGGTTTCCGGGTGCCTGGAATAGTAGCCCGGTGGGGTATCACCCACCACATTCCGGCTCCTGAGTGTGGATGACAACTGCCTTGGACTGTCAAGTTTCCAGAGGACAAGAAAATGATTTCTTTCTAGCAATGAGTCCTTTAATGCTTCAAACCTTGGAACAGGTGGAACTCCCTGTCTTTTAAATACTGAGAGGAAAGCTTACTTTACCCTCTAAATGATAAGATGAACATTATCTTAAAAGGCAAGTGAAGTCGCTCAGTCGTGTCCGACTCTTTGCGACCCCATGGACTCCTCCGTCCATGGGATTTTCCAAGCAAGATACTGGAGTGGGTTGCCATTTCCTTCTCCAGGAGATCTTCCCGACCCAGGGATTGAACCCGGGTCTCCTGCATTGTAGGCAGGTGCTTTACCGTCTGAGCCACCAGGGAAGAGCCTTAATCTATATGAAGCCAGGCATAAGCTACTTACGAGTTCAAGGCAAGATACTGTGGATGGATATGGACTACTTAAAGAGACTTCATCAATGAGAAACAGGACAGCCAACATCAAAGTGTTGAAAGTCAAGCTATGACCCCAAACAGGCAGTGGCTCATCCAGGATCTCTATTCCTTACAGTAGCTGTGAGTCACCAGGGCTTTGGGTCAATAGATGAATGAAATGCACAACGCTGTGGTCCTAAGACTACTTCCCATCCCTGAAGCCAGGGTTTCCAGCACTTTGGGAAAAAGCTGGTAACAATACCCAATAAACTCTTTAAGCCTAGCAAAAGATGGTAATACGTACCAGGGGGCAGGAGACACTGCAGAAGTGGCCAATGGTCACGCCCAGGAGCTGAGAAGCTGACTGCCCAGTGCAGCTCTAGCTCTTAAATAGTCTTGCCCTCTTTCTTTCAGTTTCCTTTTCAAAAAAGACTTTCTCTCTCCCTTTTTGGCTTCCTGTTTGCCCCACCCTCTATCACTTGCATGTAGGAGTTTCTTATAAACGACCCAGTTTCTCAGAAACACTTGAACCTAATGACCAACCTCTTGGGTGAGGCTGTCAGAAAGACAGAGGGTGGGGGATGCGGGTGGAGACCAGGGAAACGCTCTTGAGAACCAAGCTGTTGGCTGGACATTGCATCAGCCACTTTACACCCCAGGCTGGCCTTCTTATAACCTCCTCGCCCTGTTTCTGTTCCCTGTTCTCGTTCTTGGCATCAGTGTGAAGAACTGTGTCTGTTATGCAGTGGCAGCCGGGGAAGGCGGGGTGGAAAAGCAGATGGCAAATTCCTTGCTGCCGCTGCCGCCGCTACTCACAGAAACGACGCAGTGCAGCGGAGACCACTAAGTTCTGGGATGAGACCTGGGTTTTCAATCCCAGTTTGGGCGTTTCTTTGTTACAAAACCTCGCGCAAATCACATCACCTCTCTGCTTCACCCCCCGTTTCTTCACTTGTGAAATGGGCAAAAAAGCAGCCTCCTAACTTCACCGTTGGAGGAGGGCAGGGCAACCCACTCCAGTATGCTTGCCTGGAGAATTCCATGGACAGAGGAGCCTGGTGGGCTACAGTCGGTGGGGGTCGCAAAGAGTCGGACATGACTGAAACGACTAAACACACAACTTCACCGAGGCGGCGACCAGGTGCGTTACCACAGGCAAAGCCCCTGTCACACGGCCAACGCTTGTTAAAAGTGGGGGCCTCATCCTTTGGGGAAACGAAACAGGAGGGAGACGATGAAGGGCTGGTGCCGGCGCGAGTGCGCGACAGGGTAGGGTCGGCGGCGCTGAGGGAAAAGGGGGCGAGGAACCAGAAGCCGGCGAGCAGAGAGCCGGGCTTTGAGGAGACTACCTCGGGGTTTGGCGTGCAAGCGGCTCCGGGAGGGCCAGGTCACTGGGCTCCGCCCCGGCCTACCCCCCTGCTTCCTTCATACCCACACTTACCGGCCCAACCCGGCCCGTCAGCGCTGCCGGCTCAGCCACGGGTGGCCTCCTAGGCGTCCTTGGAAACGCCTTCCGGCTGGAACAACTTCCGGCTAGGCTGCGCCCTCATTGGCTGTTAGCACGGAGGCCGCCGCTGATTGGCTGGCGGTTCCGGCAACGGCGGAACGCTCCCGGGTTTCAGGGCGCAGGCCGGACAACCCTCCGGAGGACCGAGAGCTTCCGGTGCGTGTGGTGAGCTGGGGGCCGGGGACGGGAGGGGACTCCGATCTGGCGGCGACCGGAGCGCAGCCCGCCCCTTCGCGTGTATCTGTCTCCCTGTATCTCCGGTTCCTTCCGAGCGCGCAGTGCCCTGGACGGTCCTCACTGCTCATTCCTGATGATCCTCACCTCTCCCTCTGACAGCCCAGCTAACTCCTATTCATTCTTCAAAACCCATCCCTGGTCGTATCTTGTTAGTGGCCTTCATCAGTCTTAGCCTCCGGCGCAGCATCTGTGTTTTGTGTTTCATCTCAGTCCATAAGACCCTGACATAAGGCTTGGCACAGAGTAGGTAATCAGGAAATATTTGTTGAATGATTACATCCTATTCCTTTTACGTTCTCTGTGTCCCCCCCTCCCACCGGGTTGTAATTTACAAATATTTCTAGATGCTGGTGATTTAAACAGTGAACAAAACACAGAAAGCCCTATGTTTTGGTGGAGCTGACATGTTGATGACTGTCCGTGGCACTCTCTCCCCTTTTGTAGCCTTATTTTTCCAAAGACCTGACTTTTTCTTCTGTCTGTTCATGGTTTAATGGCTCCTTCATTTGCATAAAAACAACAACAAGAACAAAACTTCCTTTCCCCCTCCTTTGCCTTAAGACACATAAAAGGCAGCAAACAGTTTTCTCTAGAGTTTATTTTGTTCTCCGTTTTTGCCTCTTTTCCTTGACTCATCCTTGCCTTCTCTCCCGCTCCATTTTGATCAGTTTTATTGGTTCCATCTTCGGTGTTTCTTATCACCTATGCTTCCTCACCTTCAGATTATCGTTTTCTGCCTGAGGCCTGCCCCGGCCTCCCAACTGCAGTGAAACTGCAATCCCAAGCACACCATCACGCCTGCTTTTCTTTTCTATTCTGCCTTTTTCCTTAGGATTTCTCACCTCTGGACATGTTCTGTCTCACTTGGTTCTGGTCTGTCTGTCTGCACTGGCATCTGAGCATGGTGAGCTGGGGCTTGGCTGGTAGGGCCTGCGCTGTTGGTATTTGTTGAAGGACAGAATGAAATGTACATGAAGCAGATAGGAAGCCCTAATGCACACGTGCCTGCATTCATTCAGTCCTTGCTGCCTTGCCTCGTAGGAAGTGGGCCTCATAGGAAGAGGGCCTCATGGCCTCTACTCTCTGATCTTTTTCCACAGACCTCATCATTAGTTCTGGCCACCTGCCTCTCCTTTGACTGAACAGCTGGGTGGGTGGGAGTCCATCCTAGAGGCTGAGTGCCTTCATGGTAGGAACCTGGTGGGTTCCCTTTGGCGGGATGGCATGGGATTCTGTGGTGAGTTGTGCTCTATGTCTGATTAGGTTTTAGGACAGGACTGAGTCATTATGGTAATGCCAAATCCTTTGCAGTGCAACTGTTCCGTTAGTTTATAATTAGTCCGTTGTGTTATATTAGCTCCATCTGAGATGGGCTGGCTCAGGTTGGAAGTTTTATTTAGACAGTGGCTCTGTATGTAGGTGTTACCTGCCTGGATTGGGCTGCAGATGAAGTTGGATTATTGGAGGAGGCAGGCCACAGACATTTTCTGAATGATGATGTAACTGGTTTGGCGGTGGAGCTCTTCAGGCAGATGGTACCCGTTACGCGAAAGGTGGGGATGGTTGATTCCGGGGGACATGAAAGCCACCGTCCAGGGGAGGACGTGAGTGATAGACAGTCTGTCTGGAATGGTGTAACCAAGGCCCCCCAGGGAATCTTCAGGTCTCACCTGACCCCACATGTGGGAAGAGGAACTCAGGATGGTCTGTTAAGGTAGGACACTTGGGCTTTCTGGGAAGTCGCCTGTTGCTGGAGCTTTGGGTGCTGCTCCACCTCGCCCTCTGCTGTCCTGGACATGTGCAGCACCCTTGTTTTCCTCTTGACTCTGCTTCCTGTTAACTCCACAGCGTTGAGTTCCAGAAGGAGGTGCTTCTTTGTAGAAATTCCTTGGCTTCAGTTGATCATGTGTGATGGTTCAGAATTACAGGAAGAGTTTTTAAGAAAGGGGAAATAGACTATTGTGCGAGTCCATGTGTTTGGAGTGAAACAGGTGGATTTGGATTGCACCTTAGGAATGGGGGGGACCGATGCCTCAAGTACCTCGGCCCTGTGCTGTAGGTCTGTCTGTCTACACTGGCTTGTTGTTGAGATGGGATGTCTGGGGAAGAGTGTTCTAGGTGGAGAGAATAGAAGGAAGGCCTGGAGCACAGTGGGAGTACGGCTTGCTTTTGCCACGTGGCAGATCCTGGTCATCTTTCTGTTTCAGCATGTTCAGAATTAGCTTCATTCGTATTGATGAGTATTTGCTCTTCTCGTTTGTTACTTATAAACCATGCTGCAGGCCCTCTGTATACCTATCTCTGCAAACATGTGCTAGTGTTAGAGTTCTAACGTGGGGTTGTTGCAGTAAAAACTATCTGTTTAAATTTGTAGTAGATCCTCCCTGAATGGACCTTCCAAAAGGCCTCGTTAAAACCATGAGTCTTTCTGTCCAGGCATCCTGTGTCCATTGAGTCAAGTCCTCCTTCATGTCTTTCAGTAAATTTAGTTTTCTTTGTGTAGGTCTTGCTATTTTTGTTATTGTTGTTAGATTTATTCCCAGATATTCCATAGTCTTCATTAAAAAAAATTGTATCTTCTAACTAATTATACTTGGTCCATAGACAAGGCCTCATTTTTTTTATTTTTGGCTGCGCTGAATCTTGACTATGGCACCTGGGTCTTCGTTGCAGAGTGCAGGCTTCTCTAGTTGTGGGGCAGGTCTCTCTCTCTATTTTCAGCAAGTGGGCTTAGTTGCCCCGTGGCATTTGGAATCTTAGTTCCCTGACCAGGGATTGAATCCATGTCCCCTGAATTGGAAGGCAGATTCTTAACCACTGGACCACCAGGGAAGTCCCAAGGCCTCATTTTAAAAAAAACTTTAATTTATTTTTAATTGAAAGATGATTGCTCTGCAGCATCGTGTTGGTTTCTGCCAAACAGCAGCATGAATCAGCCGGAGGTATACCTATGTCCCCTCCCTCTTGAACCTCCCTCCCCCTAAGGCCTCATTTTTAATGTGTTTACTCTCCTGGGTTGGAGAAGGCAATGGCACCCCACTCCAGTACTCTCATCTGGGAAATCCCATGGACGGAGGAGCCTGGTAAGCTGCAGTCCATGGGGTCGCTAAGAGTCAGACAAGACTGAGCGACTTCACTTTCACTTTTCACTTTCATGCCTTGGGGAATGAAATGGCAACCCACTCCAGTGTTCTTGCCTGGAGAATCCCAGGGACCGGGGAGCCTGGTGGGCTGCTGTCTATAAGGTCGCACGGAGTCAGACACGACTGAAGTGACTTAGCAGCAGCAGCAGCAGCACCCTCATGGGTATTTCAGTCTTGGATTTGCTTGGTGGCACATTTGCTTTTAACCGCATATGGCAGGAAATGTTCTATCACGCACGTCTTCTGACACTTGACTTTGTTTGGCCTTAGGGAAGTTTGCCCTTGAAGGACAACGCTAAACTGTGTCTCTAATGGCTTCGTTGGTGGCCTACGAGGACTCGGACTCAGAGGCCGAGACCGAGCTTGCGGGGGGTTTCCATCCAGCCGGCCAGATGGAAGACACTTCAACTGCGGTCAGACCTCCGGGGCAGGATTTTGGATCCAGAGTCTTGGATGCAACAGGCGGGCGGACGCCATCCCCAGAGCGCGCCTCTCATGATGACCCTGCCAGGTGTCGTCTCCCGCTGGCTCGGCTCTGGAGCCAGGACCCAGGGTCCTGCCCCAGCCAGAGGCTTCAGTGGCCCAGGCCGGAGCCCGAGGCTGCCTTCCCCGCCAGCCTGCCGGCCCGTCTCTCCCTGTGGACC